CCACAACGTATCAGACGTCCGCCCCGACATTATCATTCAACAACACCCCGACATCGACAACAATTGTAAACTCGTTTGCTATTTATTACAAATTATTTATTGAAATTAGACTACTTTTTTTACCTTAACAATGATTTTTAGTATCAAATCATTACTAGTATCAAATAATTAGATATTTAGTAAATCAACTATTTTAAATCATTAGTATCAAATAATTAAATATTAACAATAAATCCTTATTAATAATAATTAGTAAATCATTGATATCAAATCATTAAATATTTAAAAATCATACATAAATTCGACTATGTATAAATTTAAACTCAGTAATCCACACTTGTACACTCATTTGTTAGTATTCTAAATAATAACTAAATAATTATTATAAAATCATTATTATAATGATTATTATCAAATCATTACTAAATCATCAAATCATTAAATATTTAAATCATTATTAAATCATTTTTATAATGATTATTACTAAATCATTATTATAATGATTATTATCAAATCATTACTATAATGATTATTATCAAATCATTACTAAATCATCAAATCATTAAATATTTAAATCATTATTAAATCATTATTATAATGATTATTATCAAATCATTACTATAATGATTATTATCAAATCATTACTAAATCATCAAATCATTAAATATTTAAATCATTATTAAATCATTTTTATAATGATTATTAATAAATCATTATTATAATGATTATTATCAAATCATTACTATAATGATTATTATCAAATCATTACTAAATATTTGTTCATTAAATATTTAAATCATTATTAAATCATTATTATAATGATTATTATCAAATCATTACTATAATGATTATTATCAAATCATTACTAAATCATCAAATCATTAAATATTTAAATCATTATTAAATCATTTTTATAATGATTAATAAATACATAGAAATACATATATGATTACTAATGATGAGGCCTATATCTTGGTAAATTAGGACAATTGTTTTTTGAATGGCCTTCACCCCTACATAATCCGCATCTCTTTGCTTGACCTCTCTCTATAGCATGAAAATCCATACTGGTATGAATTCGAGTGGACTCAGGTCGACCCTTTGGACTTCTGCGAAGCATTGGATTAGGTAGCCATTCATCATGATCCTTTTTGGGCCAATATGATTCATTCGGGATCTGTCTGAACACATAGCTGTAGACATTTAATATCCTACGTAGCTGAACACATACTGGTCGTTCAATTGCCGCCAAAATACCCGTTCCTCTATCGGATATCAAGCAAACTCCATCTTCACGAACGACATATTGACGTAGATTGGTCAGAAAGAAATCACAAGCCTCTGTTGTCTCTCCCTCAACAATGGCGAATGCAATTGGGAAGATATTTCGCTCACCATCTTGAGCAACTGCCATCAAAAGTACATGCCTATATTGACCATACAACCACGTACCATCTACTTGGATCATACGTTTGCAAAATGGAAATCCTTCAATACATGCCTTGAATGCCCAAAATAGTCTATGAAATATTTTCTTCCCTGGCAGAAGTTGACCTTCTTCGTCATATGCGGGCATGGTTTGAGACTTCACTATAGTTCCTGGGATAAATCGCTTCATTGCTTGTAGCAAATGTGGTAGCTCATTGTACGATGTATCCCAATCTCCATACGTCAACTTCATTGCCTTCATTTTCGCATTCCACACCTTGCCATATTTTACTTGATATCCAAATTGGCTTCGAATAGATGCAGCTAACACTGAACAAGATATCCTTGGATCCTTTTCAACCATCGCCTTCACGTATTCACATATTACATCGGAGTCCAATAGTCGGTGGTCTTGTTCGATGGAGTTTCGCAAACATGTGTGCGAACCATTGTACCTCGTGATGACCCAAACATCGTGCCTTTGATTTTTCGACACTCTGATCTTCCACTTGCACTCTGGGCCATATTTTACACACTTTGCGTATAGGGTTTTCTGGTTGGACTCTGCAACATGGACATCAACATGGCATTTGATGCAGTACTCTTTAATAGCCAGCGTAGCTTCATTTTTTCCTCTGAATTGCACCCCAACTGAAAATTCACCAGAATTATCGAATGATTCAGTCATTTGGTACGGAGGTAAATGTGGCATGTCTGGGAATTCAGGTGCCCTCATTGCATCATAATCTATCTCGTACATGTGAGGAGTAGCTTCATACGGTGTCGGAACTTCATCAATTGCACCTCCACCAAAAATATTTTCGTCGCCGCCCAAAACGGGTTCTTCAGTTTCTTCATCTTCGCTTGAATCATCATGAATTTCTCCCCATCGATTTTCAGCGTCAATATCAACAACCAATTCCGGTATGTTTCTCGTCTCATACTCTGCTGCTATAGATGTCCCCCCGACTTCATTTACACTTTCCAATAGTGCCATAAAACTGTTCGGGAACCTGTATGTCGGCTCCTCAAACTGACTATATAAAGCCATTTTAGATGGATTTTGAGCCACACCTCTTGATGACCCAGGAACATCACATATGTTACGCACATCAACAAATAATTCAATAACTGCTATATTGGTTGACTCATGTAATCCAACCATGGTTCCAATATCATCATCTTCTTCAAGTGGAACTGCAGCATATCTGACTGGGTTAGAGCATATCATAAACCTATACCTCAAACCATCCACTGCAGCTCGAATTTTTCTTTCTATCTTATGCTTCATTTCTATAAATGTGATGTCTTTTTTGAACATCATATTTATTGGTTTTTCAGACTGAAAAACTACTCCGACCTCATTTTCCATAATCTGTCCATTATAATGGACAATCGTGAAAAAGTTGTTGCTCATTTTCTCTACAAATAAAAAAATAAATTAATTTAGATTAAAAAATTAGATAAGATAATTTCATAAATTATTAAATATAATATAATATACTATTATATTAATGATCAAATAAAAGTTATTATTTAACTTGATTGATTGCTTACTAATAAACCTAATAATGATTTGATAATTACTATTAATCTAATGATTTGATATTTAATGATTTAATAATAATATGATTTAGTCATAATCACTAATAATTATTTATTATAAATATTTAATGATTTAGATTTGATACTAATCATTTAGTAATTATTACTAATAATAATGATTAGTTTGATAATATTTTTTTTTAAAATATCAAACAAATTTGTTAGGCAAAACTGTCGAGATAATGTTCTCAAAATAATTATTTCGCGAGATAATGCGTTGTCCGGATTATTTCATTCAATTAATTTTTACTTCTTACTAATATACACATACAATGTAAATTAAACAAAATATTTTTAAAACAACACTAAATATTTTTAAACACAATATTTTTTAAAACGGAAATTATCTCGCACAAATTAGTTTATATAAATCTAATATAAACTTACTAACTAACTAATTTACACATACACAACAACAAAAATGGACAACAAAAAATAATAAATTACTCACGTCTTTATGCCTTCTTCCTTTACTTTCTTTTCCTGCCTTGTTTCTTTCTTCGAATCAATCTGTACGTGGGCAAATATTGTAAAATAATGTCATGTATGTGTAAACAAAATATTTATTTAAACAACAATAGCTCCCACAAATTAATTTTATATAATCTAATATATTATAATATACCTTAAAGTAATAAACTATTTCTTTATTATAATATAACTTAGTTAAAATAACAAACTAATTAAGCACTAATTAATTTTATTATAATATAACTTCAACTTCAACGAACAACCTAATATACGTTTAAAGACACTAACAAATTAATTAATATTTTTTATATTTAATAACTTAAACTAAGAAACTAATTAACTAATTTTTTATATAATAATATATAACTTAAACTAATAAACTAATATAATATAACTTAAACTTACAAACTAATAATTTATACTAACAAACTAATTAACTAGATTTTAGTTTTAAGTTGCACCCGAAACTAACAAACTAATAATTTCATATAATAAACTAAATTAAACAATAAAAAATTACCTCAACTATGTTTGAGCCTATATCTTCTTTCTTCTTCTTCCTTTTATTTCTCTCGGCAAAATTTATATGTGCTGGTTCTGCTTGTGCTTCTACCCTATACCCCATATCCTTTATATAAACAACTGAGCGTTAACTATTGAGCATTGAAAGGCTCACAGCTAAATTAACGCTGCAATAACGTAATTATAGATGCAACACATACAGGTACGGGTGCAGGAATCTCTGAGCTATGAGCTATGATGCAACGCATGCATGCAAGCTATGAGCTATGATGCAACGCATGCATGCAGCAGGACCTTGGTCGCCGAGACTCCATGGCGACCACCGTGACCTACAGTTCGCCGTGCATATCCATGCACAGTTCCCACGTCCAATGCACCATCCCCTCCCCCATGCATTCCCACCCCATGCATTCCCACGTCCAATGCACCATCCCCTCCCCCATGCATTCCCACGTCCCATGCATCCCCTCCCCCATGCATTCCCACATCCCATGTTGATCCCTCCCCCATGCATTCCCACCCCATGCATCCCCTCCCCCATGCATTCCCACGTCCCATGTTGATTGCATGCATCCCCTCCCCCATGCATTCCCACGTCCCATGTTGATTGCATGTCCCATGTTGATTGCATGGCCCTATTCTGTAATACACACAGGTCGCCCGGATGCCATGGCGACCTCCAAGGTCGCCCGGATGCCATGGCGACCTCCAAGGTCGCCCGGATGCCATGGCGACCTCCAAGACCACTGTAGAATTCACCCCATTCCAGCAATTAATCTGGGATGTGCACCATATCGTGAAAAAAAAAATCGAGAACATTATCTCGTGAATTCACCCAACCAAAATCAGTGTATCCCTCACGAGACAAATGAATATATAAACTTAATGACAAACGGAACAGCAAAAGCAGAGGCGTATATAATTGGAGTTCACGGGCTTAGAATTTGTCAATTCCCACTTCATATTTTCCAAATCCCATTTTTCTCTCTTTCCTTTCCCACGCATAACACTAGAAATTATAGTCTAATATGTTCACTGCCATCCTCTTCTTCTTCATTCTCTTCAACAACTCCGCCTGCCATGGCGGCCCAATCCAAACCATTGTGGTCCTAGTCATGGAGAATCGCTCTTTCGACCACATGCTGGGATGGATGAAGAAAATCAACCCCGAGATCAACGGTGTTGATGGGACTGAGTGGAATCCTTTGTCCACCACTGATCCCAACTCGGAGAAGTTGTTCTTCCAGAATCAAGCTCAGTTCGTGGATCCCGATCCCGGTCACTCTTTTGAAGCCATAAGGGAGCAGATTTTCGGCTCGAATGACACCTCCGCCAATCCTCCGCCCATGAATGGCTTCGCTCAACAAGCTTCCTCCATGGATCAGTCCACCAATATGTCTATGTCTCAGAGCGTTATGAACGGATTTGACCCTGAAATGGTCGCCGTTTACAAATCTCTTGTCTCGGAATTCGCCGTCTTTGATCGGTGTTTACTCCTCTTCCGTTTTTCTTTTTTTTTTTTCTGGGTTTGCATTTTTGAAAATTAAGCATTGATTGAATTTATTATCCAGGTGGTTCGCCTCCGTGCCCTCATCCACGCAGCCGAATCGTCTCTACATCCATTCGGCGACGTCTGCCGGAGCGACTAGCAACATTCCGTCACTCCTAGTAAAGGGTTATCCACAGAGGACGATATTCGAGAATCTCGACGACGCCGGAATATCCTGGGGAATATACTATCAGAACATTCCGGCCACATTGTTCTACAAGAATCTCAGGAAACTCAAATACTTGTTCAATTTCCGTCCGTACGGGCTGACCTTCCAGAAACACGCGAAGGAAGGGAAGCTGCCGGGGTACGTTGTGATGGAGCAGAGGTACGTGGACACTAAGGTGGAGCCGGCCAACGACGATCATCCGTCGCACGATGTGTATCAAGGGCAGATGTTCGTGAAGGAGGTGTACGACACGTTGAGGAGTAGCCCACAGTGGAACCAGACCTTGTTGATCATCACTTACGATGAACACGGTGGGTTTTTCGATCATGTGGCTACGCCGGTCAGTGGGGTGCCTAGCCCAGATGGGATTATGGGTCCCGAGCCATTTTTATTTAAGTTCGACAGATTGGGGGTACGAGTTCCGACCATCATGGTCTCTCCTTGGATTGAAAAAGCCACCGGTAAATTCCATTTTCATCCTTTGCCTTTTCTATTTGCATTTCCTACTTATTTCGTTATCATCAGTAAATTTTACATGATCTTTTGGACCACACTTATCCATTATATATATCATGGAATTAACAATAGTAAATAGAAATATATTATTAAAAAATAAAAAAAAAATTCAGCAATTTATATTAATTTATCTATAATTCTAAACTAAAAAAAATTGAATAAATTTTTGGACATACACACCATATGATACAACAGTAATAGTAATACTAATTAACTTAATATTTACTCTCTCTATATATTAATAGTAATAAATCTTTAAGATTTAGTTGGATAAAATATTAGATTTTTTAAATAAAATTAGAAGTTTATTTGTATAAAAATGTAACATAATAGTTATAAAAATATAAATAATTATTTAATCCTTCAAATTTATTATGTATTATAACTGTCAGATTAATAATTAATGATAAATTTGAATAAAAATATTAATATTAATATTAATATCTTTAAATAAAAATAAAAATAAAATTAATTTCTTAAAAATATAATATAAAGATTAAGTTTTAAGCTTTTAAATAATAGAATTTGATTTTACTTTACGTGGAGAAAGGAAAGCTGCCTACCACCTAAATATTTCATACAGAAGGAGAAACAGGGATAGGTGGGGATGTGAAATTAACCCTTTCGTAGTATTTATACTGTGTAGGTACCTTTTTTTCTTCTATTAAAATGAGATATTAATACTTTGTTTTATATAAATATATGATATAATATAAAAATTAGCTTTCCATGTTTCTTGAAATATAAATTTTGGTTTATACTTATTTTTAAAGTTTAAAGTAGAAAAAATCTTCACTTTTAATCAAATAGTCATTTTTTATTATTTTTAAAAGTTTTTTTAACCCTTAATGTCTTATTTTAGATTAAAAAAAATTATTTTAGAGCGTTAACCCTTTACTAACTACTAATTTTTACCTACAAAGAATTCTTTTACTTTAAAATAAAATGTTGAAGCCAAAATATTTTAAAAAAATAGAAATCAAAATGATTATTTTTATAAACATTGGAGGGTTAATGTTGATATTATGCCTATATATATATAATGATATTTGGGAAGCTTACTTCTTGAGGGCTACAATCATTTGTCTCTTTCCGTCATTGTCAAAACAGAAGGTGAAACTTTTGTTGAATGGAAAAGCAAGCTAGACAACCGAAAAAAGTATAGGCTGACCTTATTCTTAACCAAAGCCAACGACATTCTGTGCTCAGGGAAACAAAATGGTCAAGGGAGAATTAGGTTTAAATTCGTCCCCAGACATTTAAATTTTTTATATAATTTAAATATTTTTTTCTCATAATCTATTTTCATTTCTAGAATTTTAATAAATTTAATTTTTAAATTTTTTTAAAATTTTTATGAATTCACCTCTTTAAAAGATTATACATTTATCCCTATCCTAACAAATTAATATGTAGATATAAGATTCATAGTGTGTAATATTTTCTTTAGTCCTTTTGCATATTGATTGCTCCTATTTATATTTTATGTATCATCTGTGAATTAGATATTAACATATTATCTTAAAATTTTTATAATAAACTTAAATTCATCTGTGATGATGTGTTGTCATATGATTCACTAACTATATATATATATATATATCATCAATACATCAAATATTAGAATTTATAAATTTTAAACTTAATTCACATGATTAAATCCATATTCTCTATCTATTTAGTTTAATAAATCTTGTCCTTTATATATATATCCTTTATATATATATCCTTTATATATATATATATATATATATGAATGCCAAAACATTAACTTGTGAATAATTGAGTACTTGAGTGATTAGCAATTTGAGAATCTAGAAACGGGAAACAAGATTAGTATAATGAGCAAAGAATTGTTATATTGGGCCATTGTTGTTGTTTGCATTGGCGCTTAAAATTACAATGTTTTTTTAAATGATGCAGTTGTTCATGGGGGAGATGGAAAACCATATCCCACATCGGAATTCGAGCACTCATCCATTCCAGCAACAGTAAAGAAGTTGTTCAACCTCAGCTCTCCATTCCTCACTAAACGAGACGAATGGGCTGCCACTTTTGAGTCCATTCTCCAAACTCGAACTGAGCCTAGAACTGATTGTCCAGGTTAGTTGAACGCACATATATTTTACAGACGCAGTTGTTCGAATTCATTCCTCTAGTTTTATTTGTTAATTAGGCAGATGGAGTTGATTTTTATTCAAGTATTTTCTTTGGCACCTACCCATATAGTGGTGTGTGAATTGTGTTATATATATAAAATTGTTGTGACATGTGAAAGTTTTGAAAATGGTAAATGTAACATTGAACAGAAACGATGCCGACGCCGGTGAGGATAAGAGACAGCGAGGCGAACGAAGAGGCACAGCTGAGCGAGTTCCAGCAAGAGCTGGTGCAGCTGGCGGCAGTGCTGAAGGGAGATCATATCCTCGCAAGTTACCCGGAAAAGACAGGGAAGAAAATGAGCGTGAAAGAAGGGAAAGAGTACATGGAAGATGCAGTTAAACGGTTCTTCGAGGCTGGTCGTTTCGCGAAGAAAATGGGAGTCGACGGCGAACACATTGTTCAAATGAAGCCTTCCCTGACTACACGATCATCAAAACCTTCGTCTCAACATCCATAAGCTGGTTTATATAGATATAACGCAAATGTGAAGACGTATAGCAATGTTGGTGCTTTTCAAGTTATATTATTATAGATGTTTATAGAAAAAGAGGAGATGTTGAAATAATAAAAACTTCTCTGTATTTTCCAGAGTATTTTATGTCATTTACATGAGCTTGATTATATCTATAATATGCAGGGCCGTGGATGGGGGGCGCAAACTGCGCGATCGCGCAGGGCCCCCCAAAAAATGGGGTCCCAAAAAAAAGTATATAGTGATGTTTTACCAATAAACGTCATTATAGATGGGCCTATTGCGACGTTTTAAAAAAAAAGCCACTATTATTGTCCCGAAATCGAATATATCTAAAAAATAGAAGTCATTTTATACGAATTTGTACAGGGCCCCGAAAACTCTGCCACGGCCCTGATAATATGTTGCAACATTGTGAAATCCCTATTGGAAGAAGAAAGGTATCCAAACTGTACCACTTTTTTCTCTATTATTCCAATTATTTTTCTATTAAAATAGATATATAAAGTTTTATTTTGTAATCATTTTAAGTGTAAATAAAGTTGGTCTAAAAAAATTTAAGAACCAATCAAAGTTAGACAAATTTTTTTTAAAAAAATTATTTCATTAAATAAATAAATTTTATGTTAATTAAAAAAGCTACATTAAAGAGTAATTTATAAAATAGGTAAAAGTATTGTTATATTTTTATTCGGTTTTAGTAAATTATATATTTTTTAAGTTAAAATAGTTGTTTAACATTTTACAAAATTATCATTTTAAAGATAATTCTGTCGTAACCATTAAAACAATTTTTAAAAAACAGTTAATCAATAAATGTTTAATGCCTAATCTAATTATTATTTTTTCTAAAAATAAAATTTATAAATTTAAAATTATTATTTCTATTATTATGATAGTAAAATGCTCCATCTGAGGAAACTGTAATACGTTCAGCCAGCACGGTTCACTTCCCACCCTTCTTGGCAGCAGACTTGGTGACCTTGGCACCGGTCGGGTCCTTCTTCTCGACATTCTTGATAACACCAACAGCAACAGTCTGTCGCATGTCCCTAACAGCAAAACGCCCCAGAGGTGGGTACGCAGAGAAGGTCTCGACAACCATTGGCTTGGTAGGAACCATCTTAATCATATCAGCATCACCACTCTTAAGGAACTTGGGTTCCTTCTCAAGCTCCTTACCAGATCGCCTGTCAATCTTGGTCAAAAGCTCGGAAAACTTGACTGCAATGTGGGAAGTGTGGCAGTCGAGGACCGGGGCATATCCATTTCCAATTTGGCCAGGGTGGTTCATGATGATGACCTGAGAAGTGAAGTGGGCAGCCTCCTTCGCACGCAGGATCATCCTTGGAATTCGATGCAACGAAACCTCGCTTGAGATCCTTGACAGCAACATTCTTAACATTGAACCCAACATTATCACCAGGAAGAGCCTCTTGCAGATCTTCGTGGTGCATTTCAACAGACTTAACTTCAGTGGTCAGACCAGAAGGACCAAAGGTCACAACCATACCCGGCTTTAAGATACCGGTTTCAACACGACCGACCAGGACAGTTAAAATACCACCAATCTTGTAAACATCCTGAAGTGGGAGACGGAGAGGCTTGTCTGAAGGCCTCTTGGGCTCATTGATCTGGTCAAGAGCCTCCAGAAGAGTAGGACCCTTGTACCAATCCAAGTTGGTAGACCTCTCAATTATGTTATCACCCTCGAAACCGGAAATGGGAACAAACGGAATCTTCTCAGGGTTTTATCCCACCTTCTTCAAGTAGGAAGAGACTTCCTTCACAATTTCATCGTATCCAGTCTTCCGAGTATTTCGGGGTGGTGGCATCCATCTACCAACACAACCAAACAGAAGATTAGCAACAATGTCACCCAACAACAAACAAGCATCAACCATAAGATATATAAGATTTTTACCTTGTTGCAGCAGCAAATCATTTGCTTGACACCAAGGGTAAAAGCAAGCAAAGCATGCTCACGAGTCTAACCGTCCTTCGAAATACCAGCCTCAAAACCACCGGTGGTGGAATCAATAATCAGAACGGCAGTCGGCCTGTGAGGTACCAGTAATCATGTTCTTGATAAAGTCACGATGTCCAGAAGCATCAATCACAGTGCAGTAGTATTTGGTGGTCTCGAACTTCCACAAGGCAATATCGATGGTGATACCACGCTCACGCTCAGCCTTGAGCTTGTCAAGCACCCAAGCATACTTGAATGACCTCTTGTTCATCTCAGCGGCTTCCTTCTCAAACCTTTCAATCACACGCTTGTCAATACCACCAAGCTTGTAGATCAAGTGCCCAGTGGTGGTCGATTTACCGGAATCAACATGGCCGATGACAACAATGTTCATGTGAGTCTTCTCCTTACCCATTCTGAACCAATAGAAAACAAATCCTAAGAAGAAAAAAACAGAGCATAATTTGAAGACGTCACCATAATAACAAGCGATCCGATTTCTAATAAGATTAACATAATCATGATACAAAAGAAAAGTGACCCAAAATTAAATCATACATGATAAAGATGAAATAGAAAAGATTATCATAATATCGGGTTCCATAACCAACCAAATCTAAACAATTCCTTTATGAAAAATGAAAATTAAACGAAAAGAAGGATTAGGATAAAGTAATGACTGATGTTTTGATGAAGGTAACGAACCTTTTAGAAGAGATGGCTTGGAGAAGCAATGAAATGGAGAATGAAGAATGGGAGGTAACAGGTGGTCTGGAGTGTCAAAGGATCTGTTTATAGTTTAGGGTTTCTCTTCTGGCCGTTGGATATTAGTAGTCCTGGATCCAATGGTCTCTGGTTAAGTTTGGCACGTCGGATGTTCACATTTGATGATTTTGCCGTCGGTAGCAAGAAAGAGCTAAGGCATTGATTTTTTTCTATACAAAGGCATCATTTTCATTTCTTTTAGGTTGAATACCTCTTCTACTTTAATGAAATTTCCACTTTGACCCTTCTATTGTTTCTTAATTAGTTTATCTCTCCACTTTCAATTTGTAATCACTTTAATCTGTCGATTTCTTTAAAATTTATGATATGATCCATTTAAGTTCTATCAGGCGTAAAAAAACATTTATTGCACGCGTGGTATAATCTAAACGTGATATTTTTTCCCATTGAAAAATGTCAAATGACTAAAGTGATAACAAATTAAAATTAACAGGTTAAATAGACCAAATAATATTGAATGGGACAAAGTGAGAATTTTACACAAGTATAGGATACATTTTAGGTATTAAGTTTTTTTTTTAAAAATTTATTTTCATAAATTTTCAAGTAATATATATATATAGAGATGATAGTAGATCAGATATCTATAATTTCTGAATTATATGAATCTGTAAATCTCAATCAGTAGTTCTACAAATTTTTTAAATATTATTATGTATATCTAAATTTGAATTAAATACTATCCATCAATACTCAACAATAAACCTTCATCCTTACCCTTATCCTTGTTCAAACATTTATCACTATCCTATAACCTCCTAAAAATGGCAAACATTCAGAGTTTCAAACTGGGTTTATTAGGTAACCTCACTAATAGTACTGGTATTCTGTATAGTTCCGTTTTCCCGATCAACCGTATCCAGACGTACAATAAATAACAGGCACAGTAATATGCAAATAAAATTGCTGCTTTTATATGGTTCCATATTGCCTCACCACAGTCAATTTTGATCTCTTCGTTCGCAGCATGATGAACTTGAGCAGGGCTGGGGGTCCTCAAGACCAAGCTTCAACATGATATTTACCGGCCTTTTCTAAAGACCTAAGCCATCTCGCCACCGATTCTCTCGGAGTCCCACTTTCCTTTGATATAATCTCCTCCAAGGCTACCATGACATCTGATGGCATCTTTGTTGAAGACCCTGCAACATAGATGGCTGCTCCCTCACATAGCAAATTCCAAATCCTTTCGCTTTGTTCCCGCATTTTATGTTGCACGTAAACCTTCTGAGGTTGATCCCTCGAGAAGGCGGCATAAAACCCACCACCCTTGGCTTCTGAAAGCACCCCATCGTTTTGTGAACGAGACAACCACAAATCTCTATATAGAAAGTCATTATCCTTGTTTCGGCAACCAAAGAAGAAAAGAGTTGGAGCAATTATACTAGATTGACTCTGTACAGCTCTTTCCTCCACAAATCCGCGAAAAGGTGCACAACCGGTTCCGGGTCCAATGAGAATGAGGGGAAGTGAATGTGGTGGGGGAGGCAGCAAACCTTTATGAAACCATACTGGAATGTGAATCCCTGTTTAAGAATATTAGTAAGAGTAACACATGCTAAGCACACAGTTGGAACAAGGAAAGCAAAGAATTTGGAGCTATGTAATAGCACATTCATACTTTGTTCGGGATCGAGACTGGCTAGCCATGTCGAGCAAAGGCCCCTCCTTTTCCGCTTGAAAGGTGTTGTCCATGAGACAACATCCACAGTCAAATGCACTTGATTTGGGTGAGCCAAAGGGGAAGAGGAAATGGAGAAAGCCCTGTTTTTCAGTGGTGGAACCAATTGCACCAACCATTCAAATGGCATTTTCACAGAAGGGAAATCCTCCAATACCTTTTATCAGAAATATTGACATGAATTTTGTTTTCAGTGTAAGTTGGAATCCTCTTTAAAATCATGTAATATTTAGTAAAGAACTATACAGAGGGTAATTTGTAATGCTATCCTACTTTCAATGTTATCAACACCAAAAACGACATGAAATAAAAATTATCCTATCACTAATAAATCTCAGACATGCCAAACATAAGAAAAGATAGTAACCTAATACTATCCACTTGCTTATCTTAGCTTATCCTAGTCTTTCAACCAATCAATGTATTAAACATACTAAAAAGAGAAAAAAAAAAGATTGAGGCATGCATAAGATGCAAGAATACAACATTTCTAGGAAGAATTGGATTTTGAGTTCTGCATAACAATCTACAACTAAAATATCTAAGGAGATTTTTCCAAACAGAATGATGACAAAGAATGAGTTTTGTATATTTTTCTGTATTCCTCTACAACCGAAGACAGAAAAATAATAAAATTCAAAAAGATCAGAATACAAAGCAAGCATTAAAATATATAAAAAGAAATAAAATATCAGTTACACACTAAATCTACTTTACCTCCAGAACGGTTCGTCTTTCCTTCTGGTTGTACTGATAAAGATCATCTCTTCCTTCAGGTGAAACAAAATACTGAAGTCTTTCTTTCTCATGTTCAGCAGTCGCAAAGAAGCTCATAACCTGCAAACATTGATGTCAGACTGGAACAAGACATGGAAAACTTGGTGAAACTTTTTGTTTCTTTTCTTTTATTTCTCAAAAATCATTTTAAGACCTTTATAAGTGTGAACCCTGAAATTATATTCAAGGCAATACATTTATGACAAACTTCCTAAATGGGTACATGCAATTGAACCATACTGTCAAGTGTATTCCAATCCACTAAACAACTTGGATATACGGACAGCATGATTGTTTCAAAGATATTATAGTGTCACAGGAATCACTCGCACAAGGCAAGGACACAGAGGTCATAAGCACCTGTAGGGTAGTGTTGGTACAATTCATTTTTGACAAAATGGAAGTTGGCATATGTGTCGCAGAAATTCTGCTTAAAACATAAACCTATTTGAAATGGATCCATCATCTCATACTTAATACCCAAATTGCAAAGCATCTACTTATATGACAATTATTTGATAAAAATGCATAGGCAACTGTAACACTTCTCATTTTTAAGTTATTTTCAGAGATGATATTCTGATAGTGATACTGCATATCAAATACCATAATATAAAAACCAAAGTTAAAACATACAGGATCTTGCCTCAAAGAAATAGCGCCTGGGGGAAGCAGATGCAACATCCATCGTCAGTTCCACAAAAGTTCTTAATTTAATGGGTACATCCAGAGGAGTTAACCTGTTATCAAGATGGTGATTTTCCATTTCTCTAGGATGGACCTGAGATCAAGCATATTTTTCAGCACAAGGTTAGTAGTATATAGCAAGTTCAGGTTTCAAGGTTTCTTATGTTTGTGACAGGTACAAAACTAAAAGTGATGAGGCAACCAAAACAGGCAATGTAAGTATCATAATAGTTAACTATCATTCAAAGTAGAATTCTATCCTATGGATGAGAAATACTGTCAAACCACGACAAGCAGTAAATAAGTCTTTCGTTGAGATTCCTTTTTGTTCTTCAACTCCCATATTTACTTAAAATATTAATTTTAAAATTATTCATATGATAAATTATCATTTAATTGAGAAAGGGTATAACTGGAGCAATATAACACAGCATACTCTTTCATTTCATTTCCACTCCTCAACGAACACAGGATTTTCATAATCCCTTCCTTTCATCAGTTTGGTAATGCATTTAAAAAGTGTGGTGGAAAAATGCTTTTTAAAAGTGATTTTGAAAAGCATTTCCAAAAGGGCCTGCAGAATGAAACATCCTTTCCGTCAAAAAGCCCCTATTTTTGTTTCCCTTCATTTCCTTTATAGACTTTAGTCCAAACTCCAAACATATTTTTAGCTGTAAGTTTTCTCAAATAAACTATAATCCTCTACTTCCAAGATAAGTATTCCTAATGTGTTCCATAAAATCCTTTGAACATGCAGTTGATGCAAATCCAAAATATCAACATATGATTATATGAATCAACAGTTCCATCAGAAAGAAGGATTACTACAATTTGCCAATATGAAAAAGAACTTACTGTTATGAATGATTCAGGATCCAAGTTACAGCGCTCTATGAAAGTATCAACTGCTGCAGGATTCTGTGAAGGGAGAACCTCTAGAACATCGCCAACTTCATACTGAATTACCTATGATATATAAGAAAAAAGTTAAGCAATTAATACGGCTCATGGTTTGATAGGTGAAGCCGTAAAGGGAATTCAATGGCAGCAACAGAAACAACTTACCTGAGAAACAAATTCAAACTCAAAGTGACGCACATCTTTTTCATGGCTCACTCTAGTCAATGGGCAATTTTTCACCTGCAAAGTAATGTTAAAACATCAGGGATACAAAATACAGAGCAAACTATCCCATAAATTAATATTCATTAACAGTCGAAAGACCAACCATGGGAAGTACTTGAAACAAATCCTAAAAATCATTAAAGGTAGGTAAATATGAGCCCATGTAATAACAGGTTTATATATATACACATATATCAATTTAATAAATGTATTTGCTTTCTTTCTAGTAGTATTTTGAAACCGCCGAATGCAATTCTGTGCCAGAGAATAGGGTTCTAGTTCAAAGCAATAACTTAAATTATCTTTATTATAAAAACTGGCAAGAATCAATAAATAAAACTAAGAAATCAAAGAAGAAAAGGAGATGGCAAGATGGTTGAAGTTGAAGAAACGCAACAAGAGGAGGCAGGAGATCTGGACTTGAGACTAAGCTGGATGTAGATGAAGTCCCAAACGAAGACTTTGCATTGCGTGCCAAAAGTTCAAGCCAAAGAAATTAATCGGAATAAGCAAGGGAAGCCACAATTGATGAGCAAGTCCAAAAGCAGGAGGAATACTCATGCCCACATCCAAGTAACGTAGGTCTAAACTTTGGCTTTCGTTTTCCCCCTCCTAACAACCTCCATAGATTACATACTAAAAGCCATTTGAAAAACAACAATTCTAAAATCTTAGAGCAGAGATGATGAGTGAGATAGGTAGAGAGAGAAGTGCAGAAAACTCGAAAAAGTCCATTGCCTCTACTGAGGAATGGACAGTGTTCATTGACAATCTTAGTAAGAGGGTTTCAAGACGAGTTCTTAGAGAGTTTTTTTAGCCCTTATGGTCAGATTGTGAGAATATTCATTCCGCGGTTTTTAGAGAAATCAAAGTACAAGTCCTCAACATTCGCTTTTGTCCAATTTATTGATGAGGAAAGTAGGGAAAAAGCTATCCAGTCTGTGAATGGGAGATGGTTCGATGGGAGGAGATTATCGGTAGGGGTTGCTAAGTATCAGAAGGGAACTAAGAAGGAGGTCGATGATGGGAAGAGTATGTTGAGGATCAAGTCAAGAGAGCAGGAGTTGGTTTCAAATGGGCTAAAGGCAAAGTCGATGCAAAGCTTCAGGGATGGCAGAACGTATAAGGAAGTAGCGAGGTCTGATGTAAACAAGAGAAGAGAACAAGAGTCAGAGATGTTGGTGGAGGGTAGCAAACGTAATGCTACTGGTGTGAGGAACGTGTGGGAGATGCATATTGCGACAGACAATTTCAAGTGGGTGAAACGATCATTAACAGGAATAATGAAATCAACTTATGAGTATGAGTCGGTAAAGGAAGCCTTGGAGATAGAGGGATTGGGAACTCAGGTGTCGAGATGGGGTTATGCTTGGAAGGCTTGTATCATCACTTTTAATTCTGTTGATGAATTTTCTTATGCTTGGGAGAACAAGAAGGAAGTGTTGTCCTTGTGTTTCGATTGGTTAGCTCCAGCAGTTAATGAGAATGGTGTTCCTTTGGCTTTGTGCCAAATAGAACTGTGTGGTTTGCCCTTATTGTGCTGGAATGAGGCTTTCTTGGAGAAGCTTACTAAGGATTGGGGAAGGTTCATTTGTTTTAAGGAAGAATCAAAGATGAGATACGACCTTTCGTCTGCGAAGGTTTTGTTAAGGGTGGAGAGTCCCTTCGATGTTCCAGAAATGGTCATTGTAGGTTCTTATGGTAGATCTTTCAAAGTTAAGATTCTCATGGGGTCTGTGTTGATCCAGCCGAAGGAACTGGGGAGGAAGATGGAAGAGAATTTTTCAAACAAGGTGAACAGGGATTCTGTCCTTTCCGAGTCAGAGGAGGACTGTGTTCCAGAAAGAGCAGTTGAAGGAGAAGATTTTGCAGAGATTTCTTCGCATAAAGTTACTTCTTGGCTGAATAATGGTCATAATAGTGGTATGAATGGAGGTACTGAGGGTCAGGCTACTTCAAGAAAGTCAAATGCAGGAAAGTCCAATTGTGGGCTGTCAGGTTTTGTGGAAAATAGGTCTGTCCAAGTGGAAGGTCACGTGGGACTAGGTCTGAGAGAAAGTTCTTCTCCCGATGAAAAAAACCAATCTGATGTTAATGAGTCTCCCCTAAACTCTACTATGAAAATCTGTCCTTCTGGGCCTGCATATAACGTAAAAAGGATTGGAGACAAACTAATTTTCCAGCCCAATAACATTTTAGTCAATCCTTTGGTCCCTGTAGAAGTTGATAATCCTAGGCAAGTGATTATAATTTCAGGGGGGGAGAAGGAATTGGTACAAGCTGAGCAGGGCGTCGAATTGATCGTAGAGCAGGCTATCGAGCAGCGGAGTATAATTGAGGATAATGTGATAAATTCTCATAGACAAATGGACATGGATAGGAATAGTGTATCTGCTGACCATGAGGTGGAGGGCAGATTATTAGATAAGGAGAGCAGTTTGGAGTCTACAAAAAATTCTGGTCAGGGCTTTTCTCGGTCAACAAATTTAATGAACAGGAGAAGGTTCAGAATTGCTCCTTGTCATTCGGGTAGTGTATGTTCGGAGGGTGAAGTGGAAGTAAGATTTCATGATAGAATATATAGGAGGGTGACTGGTAGCACGGACAGGGAGTCAGTGGAATACGTTAGGGAGGTGTCTCAGCCATCTCAAGACTTTGTTCAAGCCAGGCAGGAAGCGGAATATACTAGGGAAGTCTGTGACATGCTGGGAATTTCTTTTAAAGGGGGGAATCAAATTGTAGAGGATGAGATTTTCAAGATGGAATTGTTGGGGATTGGAAAGGCCTCCTGATAGTACCTTGTGGATTGAATTTGGTGTTGAATGTTATTAAATAAAATGTCAAAACTAAAAATGATTACATGGAATATTAGGGGCTTGGGAAGTCTGAAAAATCAGGGCAGTGTCGAGGTTGGTTCTTAGAGAAAAGCCGGCTATTTTACTACTTCAAGAATCAAAATTGAATGTCTGTAGAAGTGGATTAACAAGAAAGCTTGGGGGTAATCTGCTCAGAGGCAGCTGTTTTGTTCCAGCTGATGGTTCGGCAGGAGGTCTAATATGTTTATGGAATGAGAATTACTTTGAGGTTAGTGCACAGATTAACAGTAGTAGATTTATGGCATTATCAGGGAAGTTTAAGATGAGCAATTTTGAATGTGTCATTATCAATGTGTATGGTCCATCAGTAGAGGCTGATAAAGAGGAATTTTTTAGGGATTTTTTATGTGCTGTTCAAAGCATCAACTTGCCGGTCTGCTTGGGGGGGACTTTAATGCTTATCTAGACCCTGAGGAGAAATGTGGGTTTACTCAGAATTGGCACTCTATGGATCTGCTTAGGTCTTTTATTCAGTCTTCAAATTTGATGGATTTACCGCTAGTAGGGGAGCGATTTACATGGTCCAATAATAGAGAGTCAACTACATGGGTAAGGCTGGATAGATTTTTGATTAGTGGATCATTTTTAAATCAGTTCCCAAATGTGATCCAAAAAATGCTTCCCAAATCCCTTTCGGATCACAATCCAGTTTTGTTGGTAGAAGAATGCAATAATTGGGGCCCTAAGCCGTTTCGGTTCTATAATTACATGCTTCAGGAAGATGGGTTTGTTGGGGCGGTGGAATCGTCATTATCAAATCTAAGGAGGGGTATTGGTGGTAGGGGTCTGTTTTCACTGCTTAGAGGAACTAAGCAGGTTATTAGGAACTGGCCAAGGAATAATCACAGGGGATTTTCCGATGCTATTTCTGAATTAGAATCCAGAATTAATGGCCTGGAATTGAAGCTACAGGAAGAGGGGACTTCCTTTCAAGAATGGGACTTGATGATTGTTGCGAGGAAGGAGTTGTGGAATTTGCATAGGAAGGAGGAGAGCATTTGGCTGCAGAGGTCACGAGTGAGATGGAGTATTGAGGGGGATAGAAACACAAAGTTTTTCCACATGTGTGCGTTGAATAGGAATAGGTTTAACACCATTTCTTCATTGAAGGTAGCTGAGGAAGTTATTTCAGAACCGGATCAGCTTAGAGGCTTTGTTTTTAATTATTTCAAGGACAATTTTAACTCGGTAACAACCCTAGAGGTGGACAAAATCAATTTGCCTTTTGCTAAATTGACAGATGATCAAAAGAAGCTTCTTGAAGTTAGATTCTCAGAACAGGAGGTGTGGGAGGCAGTCTTCCACTCGGATAGTGCCAAAGCACCGGGGCCAGACGGTTTCACCATGGGTTTCTTTAAGAAATTTTGGCCATCTCTGAAGTCATACATTATGAAATTTGTCGAGGACTTTTATAATGGAAGGATTTGGGAGCACGGGGTCAATCATTCATTCCTAACGTTGATTCCAAAGATCAGAAATCCTGAAGGTATAGAAGATTACAGACCGATAAGCTTAGTTGGCAGTTTGTATAAAATAATTTCCAAAGTTCTAGCTAGAAGGCTTGCGGCTGTTATTAGTGTTCTGGTTAGTCCGTCACAGTTTGCCTTCATTCCCGGAAGGCAACTACTGGACTGTGTCTTTTTGGCTAATGAAGTTATTGATGATTGGAGGAAAAAAGAGAGGAAAGGTGTTGTTTTCAAGGTGGACTTTCGAAGGGCTTATGATTCGGTGGAATGGCCGATATTGTTGAGACTCCTGAGAAGTATGGGATTTGGAGATAGGTGGCTTTCTTGGATTGATTTGTGTATCTCCTCCGCTTCAATTTCTGTTCTTGTCAATGGTTCTCCGACCAATGAATTCAAGATGGGGAAAGGGTTAAGGCAAGGCTGCAGTTTATCTCCTATGTTGTTCAATATTGTTGGGGAATTATTGAATCTAATGTTGATTAAGGCTGCTGATTGTGCTCTGTTTGAAGGGTTCAGTGTTGGTAGGGCGGAAAATAAGTTTCATTTGACGCATCTACAATTCGCAGATGACTTAATACTTTTCTGCAGGGACTCTTCTACTCAAATTATGAATATTAGGAGAGTTTTGAGGATCTTTGGTTTAATGACAGGCCTCCAACTTAATTTATCAAAGAGCAAGTTATTTGGTGTTAATATGGATGAGGAGGTTCTAAAGGAATGGGCTACGTTCGCAGGTTGTGGTGTTGGGGCTCTTCCTATGACATACCTTGGTATACCGATAGGCACTTACAGAAATTCGGATCTGTTGTGGGAACCAGTTCTGCAGAAGTTCAATAGCAAATTAGAGGGCTGGAAAGCAAAAACATTATCGATGGCAGGGAGATTAGTATTAGTGAAGTCTGTTTTGTCGTCCTTGCCAATTTTCTTTCTCTCTATCTTCAAAATCCCTCTAAAGATTAATCAAAAGTTGAATTCTCTGATGGCTAAATTCCTTTGGGGGGACGATCCCTTGAAGAAGCGGATTCATTGGGTTAATTGGAAAATTGTGTGTCAACCGTACGAGGAGGGTGGTTTGGGTGTCCTGGATTTGTCGATGGCGAATAGAGTGCTTCTGGGGAAGTGGGTTTGGAAGTTTGAAAATGATAAACATTCTCAGTGGAAGGAGATGATCTGCTGCAAGCACAATATTACCAATTTGTCTCTTTCAATTAATAAGGCTGTTAATCCGCAAGATTCATGGATATGGAGAGGAATTTTGAATAATTATGAGAAAAATGACGATATTGGGAATTGTCTGAGGTCCAATTCCAAGATCCAAGTGGGGAATGGTAGATCAATCGAATTCTGGAATGACATTTGGGCTAATAATTCCACCTTAAAAGAACAATTCCCTAGGATTTATGCTTTATCGATTAACAAAACGGGGAAAGTTGTGGACTTTGGCTGCTATGATAATAATTGTTGGAGTTGGAATATTTGTCTAAGGAGGAATTTATGTGATTGGGAATTGGATCAATGGATATCGCTAATGACTTTGATTGATAATATTGTCTTGATTGATGCTGTTGATGACTTCCTAATTTGGTCAGGGAGTGGAGATGGTTTGTTCTCAGTTAAGGCCTGTAGATCAGCTCTTATTCGAAGCTCTGGAGGAAATTTTCAGTGGAAGAAATGGGTTTGGTCTGGATTGGCTCCCCCAAAAGTTGAAACATTTTTATGGCAATTATCTCACCATAAATTAGCTGTTAGAGTGGAATTGAAGAAAAGAGGTATTCCTTTGGAAGAGTTATTATGTCCTTTATGCCAAAAGGAGGAAGAAACAATTCATCATTTATTTATGTTTTGTCCTGTAGCTTGGGAGTTGTGGAATTTGTTCATCAATTTATGGGAGGTTAATACTGTTCTGCCCAAAGATCCCCCGTCTCTACTTAGTTCATGGTCTGATTTGAAGGCTTCTTCTTCTATTTGGAATTTCATCCCGGGTGTTGTTATGTGGTCGATTTGGAAGGCTAGGAACTTAGTGGTGTTTGAAAAATGGAATTTTGAGACATCTACACTGTTCTTCATTTGCAGATTCAGGCTGGCCAAATGGTTTCTAGCTAAATTTCCTGAAGCTAACATCCAGGTAGATCTATTAATAGGAGATCCAAGGCTGGCAGATGGTTTAGTAGTCAATTTTCAGAAGAAGAAGAAGGATCGGTGCTGGTATTCACCTCCACCTGATTTTTATAAATTCAATGTGGATGGGGCAGTTAGAAGTGATGGTTTGCAGGGTGGAATCGGAGGCCTGTTGAGAGATTCGAATGGCTCTACCGTGATCTATTTCTCTAAGCCTGTCGGACCTGGTCCTCCTCTGTTTGCTGAGTTGAAAGCCATTAAAGAAGGAATTGATCTATTTCTACATTCGGACTGGGCGTCGAAGGGAAGACTTATTCTCGAAAGTGATTGTAAGACTGCAGTGGATTGGATTTTCAGGCCTACTGAGGCTCCTTCGTTCTTCAGTTCTTTGGTTCGGGAAATTGGGGATGTAATTTCGGGTAGGGATATTATGGTTAGGTTGATTCCTAAGGCTTGTAATTGGGAGGCGGATAAGTTAGCTAAGGAGGGGATAGGTTGAATGTCCTTACTGTTAGCGGTTATGTTTGGTATTTTAATTCGGGTGATGTTGTAAGTTATAGTTTTATGTAATTCGGGTTTACTAATATATTGAGGTACTCTTTTCCTCCTTCCGCAAGTTGCCTCTTCTCAAGAGGCAACTATGAGGGAGGTTTTTAATGAGACCTCCTATTCCTATCAAAAATAAATAAATAAAACTTCCAAGTCTTCCATACTGTCGTAAGTACTAAAAGAGAACTGGAAGGGAAAGCCACCAAAATCAGAGAATAGCACTAAAAATTTGCAATAAGTAAGAGATAGATCTTGATTGCATTCTACCCAAAGTTTCTAGTCATTACTGTTAATGGAGAAGTAGCTTTAGTTTTGTAGCTAGTTCATCTCCAGTGAAAAACTGTACAATTTACTTGCATTTCAATTTTCTTTCACGTGCATATGGATATATTCTCTTTCTTGAGCAGCACATTTATTTGCTTTTATAGAAGGTTTAGACATTCAATCAGTAAAAGCCTGCTACATAATGTGCAAATTACTGGAGAACAAAATATGCAAGAAAAAAATATTGTTCTTCAACTTGGATAAATCAATAGTTGGCATTGCACGGTTCTAGTTGATGTTTGCTTTCAGACAACCATTTTTTAGTATCATATCAAAGGTTCTAGATGGTGGACTGAACAAGATGGGTCAGCAAATGGACTTTATAATGAAGAGCGTTGAATCAAATTTCTATCACAATATAGAAAAGATACAAAAAAAAGTCAAATACCATTTTAAGAAAGGTATCAGGCTTGCTCTTTTCATGAGGAACTTTTCCAGAGAACATTGAGCGAGCACTCCCAATTTGCATCTGAAGGTATTTAAAATCTGAGAGAAACATAAGACAGTATGTTTTCAGAGGAAAAGGAAAAGGCAGAAAAGAGAATAGATGAGATAACTATATCTAGAAATCAATCCAGTGCACAAGGTTTGCATATCAGAGAGGACATTGGTTGAAATTGAATCATAGAAGGCAAAACTCCAAAACGAAACTAATCATCTAGAATCATTAGAAAATATTGTGGTTCATTCTTTATTCCTGATACACATCTTGAATTGCTATATGACTACTTCAACTACAATTTGTTTTAGGTCTGTTCATATTGTCAGCATCCTCTAACTCGCCACCCTTATACTTTTTTTCCAAGTTACCTGTTGCAGTTGATAATTGGGAATCCATGTTGTCTATGTTATGATAAGTGACTTGAAATTTTGGTTGGCCAATTAATTCTTCAACCGGAACCAAGAAATTTGGACCTTCAGGAAAGAAATCGGGTTTGATCTCATTTAACCCACTCCACAATGATGACATCCAAGGATCCAAAGCAGCTTCATACCTGCAAATATCAATTAACTTTTCGATTAATTTAAAGGAAAAATAATTCTACTAGTCAAGTTTCATTTCAACTCACCTTTTAAACTAAGCACATGAAAAAGTTATGATTAAATATAAAATATCATGTAAACTTTAAGAGCGAAGTTAGGATTCCATATTTCTTGCAACTCAATGTAAATGATTCAAAAGTCTAATTGGCACTTCTACCAGTAACAACAAAGACCTGTCACATTTCAACTTGCATGATCTTGGAATGCATCCATTGCAAAGATATATTTCTTAACCAATTAAATGGCTGTGTGCCATACATTCATAGCCACAAGGTTTCTCAAAGCTACCCTAAGCTATCTAATTAGCTCTACAGGACGGTAGACAGTTTCCAAAGTTTTTAAGACTTTTCAGGGTACCAGTGTTGGTGTATCTCTATCAATTCTTGGCACTAAAAGTGAAGCTTACAAAGAACATAGCCATTCACTAATGAACATTTAAATCTCTCTAAAAATCTAGATTTTATTAGGCATTCCCCCAACATTTTATTTCCAAAGGACCTTATACAATTGTTTTCTCAAAGCCACAAGGTTTCTCAAAGCTACCCTAAGCTATCTAATTAGCTCTACAGGACGGTAGACAGTTTCCAAAGTTTTTAAGACTTTTCAGGATTCCAGTGTTGGTGTATCTCTATCAATTCTTGGCACTAAAAGTGAAACTTACAAAGAACATAGCCATTCACTAATGAATATTTAAATCTCTCTAAAAATCCAGATTTTCTTAGGCACTCCCCCAACATTTTATTTCCAAAGGACCTTATACAATTGTCTGGTTCTGTATGGGGTTTTTGCAACAGGTTCTAAGTTCTAACTGGTTTTGATGACTCAACAGTGAACTATTTAGAGGAAACAGAGTACTGAGAAAACTAAGAATGCTAAGAACAATATTGCAGAAGAAACTGCCATCTCAACAAGTTCAATGAAATTATTCTTAAAAGTACTTAGAAATCATACCCTGAAGGATGCTGATCATCTCCCAAACCTCTCTCAATAACAGCTGTAGCCCCAAGGTCTGAAAGTCTTTTATCAAGCTTCTTTGCAACAAACTGCAGACACCAAATACCAAATTAAGTTTTTCTCCAATTATGCACCAAAAACTATGTCAATCATCACAAACAATTTAGTAGAAAACTGGAACATAAAACCTTTAGAAAGCAACCTAATTCGTAGTTTATGGCATAAATTCTGATAAGTTCTAACACCATAAGCGTCCACTTCAGCAAACAGCTGAACACATCAAATACCAGGTATTCAAAAGATATTCAATGTCATTAGCAATGGACACTTCAGCACACATATCATACATATTCTATGAAATTAGTAGCCGTCAAGAAGAAATATAAACAACAGTAACATGCTTCTGAAAATAGGCATTTGATACTATTTGTAATGTCATTGACAAGTTTACAAAGTCATTTACTTCTGCCTTCTCAGTTCTCAAAGATGAAGAATGTTAACTATGCTGATCCAATCTACACAATCTACCGTATCATAAAGAATAAAAATAATTTACATATGAAAAATGCTATGTACATTGAAAAAAGTAGATATGAAATTGAAAATGCAATCAAATGAACTGCGGAAAAACCATTACGTTATATTTCTGGTACCCAGAATCACCTAATCCAAACACCGCATAATGAACTCCTTCCAACCAATGGCTGCCAAGATTTCTTTGCAGAAGAAACCTCCAAAATACCTGCAACATATACAAGATTAGGAAAGTAAAAGGTAACAACTTTGAGACATAATAACAAAAATATGGTTATTGAAGAAAACTAATTAGGGTTAACCTTGCCTTCATTGAATCTGGAGGATCCCCCTGGCCTGTGGTAGAAACAACAAAAATTACAGTGTCCTCTGCAGGCAACGAGCTCTGCAAAACAGTACAAAGTAACTAATTGATACCATATACTTTTTAATCGAAAAATAAAAAGAAAGAATGAGTAGAGTAGAGTAGTTTACAGCATCATATTCATCGGTTGAACGAATCACGACGCTGCAGGCTCGTCGCTCCGCTTCTCGAGCAAGACGCTCGGCCACATCCAATGCGTTCCCCGTTTGAGTTGCGTATAGTATCAGCAGTTTCTTCGACTTCTCCATTCCTACTAAACACACACAATGTCAGGAGAAGACAGCTATGGAATATGAATTACGAGAGTTGGATGACTTTGGGCCAGAGACTGGTAGAGAAAAGATTGAGCCTAACAGACAAATATGTAAGGTTATGTTTAATTGTATATGACTTGTAACGCGCCTACGTGACGAGTTTTAATTTTTAATATATTTTATGAAACTCATCATATCGATGTAATGAATTTTACGTGTATTATAACAAATGACGTAGATCTTAAAATACTTTTAAAATCATCCTATTAAACTAAATAATTTATCTAATTAGATTATTGGGTTGATTTTACCTTTAGATGAAATTATGTGATAGAGATGTAAGAGTATAACGTCTAGTCAAAATAATACTAGATTATTCAGAGTATTTTTGTGATATATTTTTCAAATAATTCAAACTTTTAATATTTTATTTAAATATTTGTATGAAAAATTATAAAATTGTTTCTGTTATACTATCTAAATTTTACAAACACTTTATATTTAACCTATTATTAATATAACGATAAATTACATCAAATATCAATTGACTTTAAATAATGTATCACTTATATCATTAATTTTTTATTTTTTAAATTATAACATTAAATTATAATTTTAATTATATTATCAAGCCGTTAAAATTCAAACGGTCATGCGTACATACAAGTTAATGGCAGAGACAAGATGTTATGGGTGACGTTTTACCATATATGAGTATTATAGAAATATGAAGTGAATGCTAGGCTTTCCGGCTTAAGAAAAATAATGTTTGACAAATTTTTAATTAATCTATTTCAAACAAAATTTCGTTTATTTTTTTATTAATTTGAAGTAAATATAAAGTAGTATCTATTTTTTTTATAAGATTAGAAGGTCTCATTAAAAATCTCCTTATTGATTAATGGAGTTTGAAAAGAAGCTCTTTAATCATCGGAAGGAGGAAAAGAACGCCTTAGATTTTCATTAAAGAAAATAAAATTACAGCCTAGATAGATATCTTCGAAATAACCCTTACAACAGTCTATAAATCCCACCCCAACAGGAATCAAATGCTAAACTGAAAAAGCAAACAACATAAAAATTAGTCTACTCCAGCCTTTGCTAAAGCATCGACGTCCATATTAACTGACCTTGCAACCCAATTTATAACCCCAAAATCTGAGATTGTCAACTATATCACTAACAACGAATGCATAAACAACTGGGCATGAATTGACATTGTTGATCCAGCCTACTGCAACCCTGCTATCACTCTCAACAATCAGCCTATCTTTAACCCTCCCTTGAGCAGAAGCATATAATGAAATACCCCTCTGAATAGCTTTAAGTAGTATCTATTTAAAGATAATTCTTAACCATTTAATATTAAACGTACATATATTTAATATTCATGAAACTCGAATCTAATATTTAAAATAATAATAATATTTTTTTACTACCGATACTTTTAGTTGGTAACAAAATTCCGTTTACTTTATTGAAAATATAAGCTGTCATAATTGCTATTGCATGGGTCCATTCATGTTCTTTTATCATACTCTACTTACATTTTTTATTATCCTTTTTGTTTTGTGTAACCATTTTCTTTATTTTCAATAAAAAAGAGTTTAAGTGCTTAAAAATATTAATTTGACAAAAATAAAATTCTAAATGTCTTTTATTTTCTTTGGTAGAAGATTACACCAACAAGATTCAAACCATGATCTTTGAGATACCAACAAACAATTTTAGCCACTACTCACTAATAATATTATATGTTTATTAGTAATTATTTGTTGGTAAAATACTTGTTTTATTTTACTTGACACAAAACTAAATATCCTTTTTTATAAATAAGTCTATTAAAGTATATTGAAGTAAGATCCATTAACGCTAAAACTTTTAAACATAGGATTAAGGGTCACTTTTTCCCGGTAGTAGTTTGTCCCTATCGTATTTTCGTATCAATTTAGCCCTCAAAGTTGTTTAATTGCATCATTCTATACCTACCCTAACTTAAAACCTTAAATTGATAATCCTATACCCTAAGCTATAACTCTATAACCTCTAAACCCTAAACCTAAATCTTTAACCCCTCAATTTAGGGTTTTAAGCAAGAGATAGTGTATAAAACGATGCAATTGAGCAACTTCAAAGGTTAAATTGATACGAAAATACGATAGCAAAAATGATAAATTAAGTCTACTACAAAAGCAAAAGTTACCCTTTTAACTTAAACATATAATTTTTTATACAGTACATATACTATATAGACCTATTATATAATGTACTAACGACAATACAAATCAAACAAAACTCAATCACCATATATATCATCACAATAATTATACATTAAATCATTTTTATAAATAAATCCTCTCAATGAAAGTATTTTCATAAAATTAACTTCATACCGGAGACATTTTATGAATTGAAACAAAAAAGAAAAAATATATAATTGCCATCTTAAAAAATATAATGAACAATGATCATTTTCTCACTTCAAATATTATAGACTAGGTACTTAAAAAATTAATACAAAAACAAATTATTAAAATTTTGAATGCTCTTCGTTTCCTTCCAGGGAAAAAATGGTTTGTTTTACTATGATCAAAAGATATAGGATTCTCATACAGTCATACTCAGACCATGCACGACTAATTCAAAAACAACAAGTGTAAAAAGCAATCACCTGTTACCATCACTAATAAGGCCATTGATTGACATGCCTACAAGACAAGTTTAAGCGTTTAAAAAAAAAATAAGCATCATATTCGTAACAAATTCCGGAAAGGCAAAGAACATGTGTAAGTTGGGTTGTCTTCGAAATTTGAACATCCCCTCCAGAACAATCACAAGTACCCTGTTTTCTGCTGGAAGTTTCATTCCTGCACTGATGATTATGAATCGATCAATAATGCAAGAACATGCTGAATTACAGATGGTATTACAAAACAGGGTGATGCAATGGAATTGAGAAGCAGCGTTTGGTGTGTATACATACATCTATATTTTATATATACTAGCAACTTCATCCAATGCAAGAGGTTTCATGTCTATTCTTGTGCACCAAAAATAGGAAAGCATGACTAAGAGATTCTAAGTGGCGTGCAGCTCAGATGGCCACCCATATTGTCAAAACTATTAGCTGTGCTCTTTACATCAGATTTTGGTTTCATAGAAATAGCTTTATACTTCTAATTCTTGTTTCTTTTTTTCTCCTTGTCTGTTCCTCGTCAATCTTAATTAGATATTCCAAGCAAAATGAAGAGATTTCTGTGCATACCTTTCGCATGATTACAACTCTTTATCAGTACCTAGCAGTGCTTTTTCTGCTGCCTTCTCTGCTTCTTCCAACGCAAATGCTTTTAGTGATTCAACATCCCTTTTCCCTGGTCATTCGCATAACATGCAGAGGGGAAAATAATTCAACACCAAAAATAGTTCTGAAACATGGACTTTTGAAATCTTTATTAACTGAAGCTTATTATCACATGTAGAATTTAAACCCAAATATATTTATGGTGAAAGGCAAAACACCTACGATGTGGCATACAACAAAATAAGAGCAGCTACACAACAAAAGGAACAGATTTATTCTACTTGTTGGTTTAGACTCGTATACAGTTGAAGTCCAGTCAAATGGCTCAAAATGGAAAAGAAAATTCTAGCAGTTCCGTTAATTAAAATCACGCTTCTTTGAATCCATATGCAAATCATAAGAAAACCCAATACCACATTAAATAGCCTTTACAAAGCTTAGTCATGTTGAGAGGCAGAATGGCCCAAAAAGCTCAGTAATTTCCCCCATTGCAGGGTAGAGCTCTACAATGACATTTTGGCTATAAAACATACGTGTCCTTTTGAAATAAGCTGAGGAATATAAAATGAAGTGCAACATGTAAATTTTCTGAAATTTCAAATTGTCACTTTTTTCAAATTAAAGAAACTCACAATTAGAGCATATGGATAGGAAAAGGTGTGTACACTAAGTAATAAAAATTGACTATTCCCATTTGAAATGGGTTTATTGACAAATACACAAGAATGCCCACGTTCAGATATTTCATCGCATCATAAACTTTGATAATTATCAGATATTCAAAGAAACACGAACAACCTTAACATTAGGGAACCTGATTCAGTCACTAATTCAATGGATGCTAATTTTAGAACAAGTAGGAATAGACTTTGAGCTATGCATAAGATAAGTAAACATATGCTTTTCCTTTACCTCTTTAATTTCCAGAGAAACAAATAAGTTCTCACGAGAAATAGAATACAATAAAATATGACAGAGAGATATAAAAACCACTTATTTACTTATTCTCTCCCAACTGGATTGCAAATCAAACCTGAAACACCCCTACAGCAGAAGAAAACATTGCCACTTTCCTTCCTAAGGCTCTCCCAATACAGCTTTACCAGCCTAGGTTCTATAAGATAGAGATTACTTCTCTTTAAAAGGTTCTACTCCATTGAGCCTCCTCACTTCTACTATGAGAGTACACTGTTCACTCCACACTAACATCATACACGACCTATACTGCTTTGTTTAATTGAAAGTCCAATCCAGGTCCCAAAAGCTTTTCATCCCTATTGAATTAGAACAACCAAGTCTAAAGGGCCCAAACTACTTAGTGCAGATAGCAATATCTTTATTTTTAAATAAAAATATTAATCCTTCATATGCAGCACACACACAGAGCATCTTGTGTTTGAATTAAAATTCCGGATTTGCAAAACAAAAAAAAACAACAAAAAAACAAAAAAACAAAAAAACAAAAAAACAAAAAAACAAACTAAAAACAGGAACAAGTGAAATTTCAATGTTACCTTGATATTTAGCAACTTCTTCGCCATCATAAAATAGCTTAAACGTGGGATAGGAATGGATGTCTACTTTAGTGCATACAGGTTTGCTTACACTGCAATCAACTTCTCCAATCTCTATTTCATCTTCTCCTTCCATTGCCTTTCCTAACTCATCCCACAAAGTCCCCAAGTTCTTACTGAAAAATGAACAAATAAAAATAATAATAACATTATAGTCACCAATAAGCAAATTACACGCGGCGGATGAGGTCTAGTTCACTCAAACAAATTTAGTAAAGCAGGCAGGAAATTATTACCAGTGTTTACACCAAGGAACACAAAATTTCACAAACCAAGCCGTGTCTTTCTCCTTTATCTGAAAAAGGAAAAAATGATACGCAAAAATACAAGATATGCCCGGAAAAAATAATCCAAATTCACATTCCGCGTTGGTTTTGTGTTTTGCAGTTCAATGTTGATGACAAAGTTGATACTCAAAAAAATAAACTAAGAAAGAGAACATGTTTAACAAGTTCTCTAGCGGAATAAATTTAAAAAAAATGGAAATCCTCACGTCATTGTTAAATTTCGGGGAAAACATACACACACACACACACAAAATGACAACCGACATGATTGAAGTGAAAGAAATTCAAAACCCTAAAAACTTTATAATTATTATTAAATTTGTGAGATTAGAGGTTAACAAAATGATAGAATAAGATTGAATTGGATTACCTTGTCGGAGAAGGTGTCGGGAGTTAGGGCTATAACTTCCGCTTCTGTATGAACGGATATTGAAATCAAGAAGAGGATTAGGAGAACAGCGAAACGACAGCTGTTTTTCATGACTGGTGAACGTGATTTTTCCGGCGACCTTAGTCTTTCTTTGTTTTTCTTCTTCGATCGGAATCAAAAAGGAGATGGAGATGTTGAGATTTGGGACTTTTCTCACTTCCCAGTTCAGCCAAGACAAAGAACTGAAACATGGCATGTGCTTTATCACGTGACCCATTTTCCTTTTTCATGGACCCAACAAAGGCCCATTTAAGATTTACACAGGCATTAAAATTTATTATAAAATACTCTTCAATATATCCGAGAAAAGGACAGAAACTCTGTTCACCCTCCTTATTTCTTCAGTCTTCCTCTTGATAATTCACTCCCTTTCCTCTGAATGTCGATCAATAATCGTTCTCTCAACAAATATAATTCTTCATTCAAATTTAAAGAAATGAATCATTGATAATTATACTATTTTTTTAACAATTACATTAACTCCTCCATCAAAGGTTAACGATCAGTGGCTTAATTACAACACTTAAATAGTTAAATGATTTGATTGAAAATTTTAAAAGATCGATGGTTAAAATAAAAAAAAACAATAATTAAGTGGTATAACCTACCCTAAATATTTTTTACTCTTAATTTATAATTTTTATTTATTTTAAATAAAATAATTAAAATTTACAAATTAAATATCGAACATAAATTAGAATTTATGCTATAATTAACTAATTTTTATAAAATAAATGTAAACTAATTTTAATTATAGTTCAGTCTAAAGATTACTTTTTTATCAGTTATGTCACAAATATCCAATTTAATATAGCGCTTAAACATTTCTAACCGCTAGCACATATCGCATATTTGAGAAAAAATTACATCAGCGTTATAGTTAAACTTTTTATTATCAAAAATAAAAAAAATATAACCTTAGAGATAATTTTTTAGAAAAACTGATAATCAGTTTAAAAATGATAATAATTTAATGAATAATAAGATAATTTATGCTATATAAGTTTTAGTAAACAAAATAAGAAATTCATTGTCCGACTTTCATCTGATTTATTTTATTAACAAGCTTCTTAGTTGTCCACTGCATGTGCTTGTTCACTTGTGTCAATATCTTCGAGCTTAACTTATTTACTAGAGGAGTCAATTTACAGTCAACCTGAGGGGATGGGGATCATCATTATAACATAACCCAACAAATTTACCGAGTGAGTTTTTTTTTTTACTGTGAATTCCATTGGCTTCTTTTAATCGAAACCAGATTCATTTCCAAACATGCAAGTTGTAAAACATTCTTCCAAATGGAATAAAAACCTGGATAAAAACAATGCATATGCAAAGAAACACTGTACAAACATAAATTGTGAGAGAATTCACCAAGTATGGGATTGGTCCGAGAGAGGAGATGTAAGGGTGGGGGAAGAGTATGGTGAAAAGGATTAGATTCATGACCAGTCACCGTCCTCTTCATCAGAGTATTCTTCCTCTTCCTCTTCATCAGAGTCTCTGTTGTCGTGCCAAATTAAATCCTCCTCCCAAAGTGGACAAGAACAAGTTGCCTTTTTGTTCTTCCACTCAGCACCACAATTATAGCAAAACTCATTCCCACATCTGCAAAAACAAAGCAACCATAAGATACGGAAACACTATGTATATGACACATGCATGCTGCCGACACGAAAACAAGTGTATGGGAACCTTCAAGGGGGGGTGTGTTGGTGGGTGGAGGGCAATAGTCCTGACATTTCCAAGACACAAGTATTCAAGGCACTGGTGCTGAATGTTGAGAACTCATATGAAACTCGTGATGTGATATCTTCCACCTCAAGCACGCAGCCCTTGTTATCAAGCAATCTCAAACCCACTCACAAATCCCCGTCCCCTTTCCTTCCCTTTATATTGGTTTTTAAACAACTTGTAGGGCAAAACACTTCAAAAGAAATAACAGAAAAGAACCTAAAAACCATAACTAAAATGAAATACCTGCAAGTCATGTGGTAGCAACCCTCAGAAAGTTCTATCATGTGGTTGCACTTCACACACTGGCGCCACAAATTCATTCTCGCAAGTGACTTCAGCTTAAGATCTTCTGCTGCGGGAAGGGGATTCTTTATTTTGTAATCTTCACATGTCATGCTACTGTGCCAAGGAACCTTGCAGTTGATACAGAAAAGGCCATGACATTTAAGACATTTCCTGGCACCAGATCTTTCAATTCCGACAAGTGCATCCTTAGCATATTCTGAAATCTCAATTCTTGACATTAAGGTTGAGCACCTAGGATATGGGCAATAAACTTTCTCTGTGACAGGAATTGAAGCCTCCTTCATTCGTTGTTTCAATGTCTCCATCATTTTAGGGGTCATGAATTTTCTGCAGCTGTCAACAATAAGCTCAGACTTACAGCCCTCGTGAGGACATTTGGGCACCATTCCATGTAGCAACTTCACCTCCACATGCTGTTTCATACAAGAAAAGCAGTATCGATGCATGCATCCATCGACTGAAAACATGCTCCCAGAATCAACATCTTCTAAGCATATAATGCAAGTCTCTTTCACCGTCTTGCTTTCATTTTTCTCTACAGGCCGAGAGACCTGAGATACTATTGCTTCCCTTGAAAGTTTAAATGCATATTTAATATCATTACGCGCCACAAGTGTAGGGCTGCAACAAGTAAATTTTCTTTGAAGAAGTAATACTTGATTAACTAACATTGAAATCTTCCTCTGCTTTGGTTGCCATCTCCTAGTAACCTGTATTGCCAAATACATCATGGAACAACATTTTGCTTGGCTCTTTATTTGAAGATAAAGAGGTTTTACAAGTTGGTTTTATCAATTACAATGCACAAATACAATTAAACCAAGTACGATCGATCATGTTCTTCCAATCTTGTGACATGTATATCAGACATTACTTAATTAAAGCTAATATTTTTTTTTGATAAGAATGATAGGCCTCATTAAAAAACCCCTTCATGATTAATGGAACTTAAGGACAGTTCCTTAATCAGCGGAAGGAGGAAAAAAGTGCCCTAGAATTTTATTAACAATAACATAAGCACATAGGAATACAACAACCAACTCCCTTAAGGAGATAGAAAACCAAAAAGAAACATCTCTCAAAAATAACATGAGGATAAACCAATACCAGCCTTAACTAGTGCATCTGCCTCTATATTGGCAGTCCTATTAACCCATCTAATAACACCTTCACAATCTCTGAGCTTTTGAATAATGTCTTTAACAATGTGAACATAAACATGACATAAAACAGCATCCTTAACCCAATCGACTGCCACCCTACTATCACTCTTGATAATCAATCTTTCCTTAAATCTTTGTCGAATAGAATCAAAGAAAGCTAGACCCTTTAGGATAGCTCTCAATTCCATCAAGGTTGGAGGCCCCGGACCAGCAGACTCTTTGAAAGAGTCTAAGATCGAACCAGATACGTCTTTTAGAACCCCACCTAAACCACTCCTCTTCCAATCACTAGTAGTAACAACATCCACATTAAGCTTGATGAATCCCTTGGGAGAAGGAGACCACGGAAAATTAGATAAAATCGGATTAGAATGTGGCAAGCAAAAATCTCCTAAGGAAGGTTCAGCAATAAGAGAATCCTTTGAGATAGAAAACTGAGTATTTTTAGCTAAAATCCATGAGGCAAGCCTAAACCTTGCTAAAAAGAAAATTTCAGCTCGATCTAGCTTCCCTCCTTCAAACACAATAGAATTCCTAGTTTTCCATATTGTCCAAAGAACCACTCCAGGAATAAATGACCATATGAGAGAGTTGGACCTCAATTCAGCCCATGCTAGGAGAAAGGTTTTAGCATCCACGTGAAGAACGTACTGAATATTCCAATAGCAAATGAACTTATTCCATATAGACCAAACAATCGAACAAGAAAAGAATAAATGTGAGGGGGACTCTTCCATTAACTTACATAAAGGACATAATAGATCATCTATGCCCTTTACACCTCGTTTAACCAAAGCTGTCTTCCCTGGCAGTTTCTGCAAAATCACTTGACATAGAAAAGTCTCCACTCTTGGAGGCAGCAGGCCCCTCCAAACTACATTATTCCAAAAATGAGCTTCCTCCAAATCCAAAGTCCCCGAATAACATAGATTAGCACATGATTTAACAGAAAAACCCCGTCTCCATTGCCCTTCCAAATCAGCCCATCAACCGAATCAACAGAAATAGAGAAGACTGAAATAACAACCATCAAATTTGTCCATTGCTCATATTCCCAATCGTTCAACTCCCATTTCAATTGAACATTCCAAAACCAGCCCCACGAGCTAAATTCCCCGAACTGGAATAATTTTCCAGTGTTGTTTACTGCAATAGCAAACAGTCTAGGAAAGATATCCATTAAAGGATGATCCATAGCCCAAGCGTCTTGCCAAAACCGGATAATTCTCCCATTACCTATTTTATAACTATATTTACTCCTGATTTTACAGCCAATAGAATCTGATCTGAATTGATTACTCACCATAGATCTCCAAATCCAAGAGAATTTAGGGGAAACATTATTGTCAAACTCCATTAAAGATGAATCCATTTTGTATTTGGTACAAATCATATCCCTCCAAACTGCCTCCCTCTCATTAGCAAACCTCCAAGCCCATTTCTCCAATAAGGCTCTATTAACCACATTTAAATTAGGAACCCCCAATCCTCCTGCAATCTTAGGTTTACAAACATCTGACCAGCTCACCCAATGAATTTTATTTTTCCCAATTTCTCCACCCCATAAAAAATTGAGCATAGTTGAATTAAGAGCCTTGTAGACCGAAACTGGAATCTTGAACGATGACAAAATATGTAGGGAGTGAACTTAGAACTGATTTAATTAAAACCAGCCTCCCAGCCGGAGAAAGTGATGATGATTTCCAGCCCGCCAACCTTTTATTGAAACTTTGTACCACTAGATCCCACAGATGGTTAGAGTTTTTGTGTGCTCCAAGAGGAAGTCTCAAATACTTTGAAGGGATTTTACCCACTAAACATCCAATCGTAGCTGCCCAATCCTTTATTTCCTCTTCATTCAAGTTAACCCCAAACAATTTACACTTCTGCAAATTAAATTGAAGACCAGACATAATTTCAAACACTCGGAGCACCCTCTTCACATTCAAAATCTGTTTTTTCGATGCACCACAGAAGATTATGAGATCGTCAGCAAATTGTAGATTAGATAAATTAAAATTCCCCTCCTCCCTGCTAATGACCAGTCCTGAAAACAACCCCTGTGAAACTGCCTTTAGAATCAATAAATTCAGAAGTTCCCCCACCATATTAAACAGTAAAGGAGACAAGGAACAACCTTGTCGAAGACCCTTAGCCATTGGGAATTCCTCCGTAGGAACCCCATTAACCAAGACTGAAACAGTGGTTGTTTTGATGCATTTCGAAATCCAACCTGTCCATCTATCACCAAAGCCCATTTTCCTCATTACTTTGAACATAATAGGCCAGTCAATTGTATCACAAGCCTTTTTGAAATCAACTTTAAAAACACAACCCTTTAAACCATTCTTCCTCCAAAAGTCAATCCCTTCATTTGCTATTAAGGGACAATCCAAAATTTGTCGACCGGGGATAAAAGCAAATTGAGATGGGCTTATTAAATCTGATAAACAACTCCTAAGTCTCCTCGATAAACACTTAGACAATATCTTGTATAGACCACCAACTAAGCTTATAGGTCTAAAATCATCTAGGCCACCAGTGTTTGTGTTCTTTGGAATGAGAGTGATAAAAGTATGGTTTATTCCATGTTCCCATTCCTTCCCCAAGTAGAAATTATGAAAGAATTTCATAGTATCTCCCTTAAGGACCTGCCAAGACCTCTTGAAAAATCCCAGATTTAAACCATCATGGCCCGGAGCTTTGTTGCTATCACATGACTTCAAAGTTTCCCAAACTTCCTCCTCAGAAAATTCCATTTCTAAGAACTGACTCTGCTCCATAGTAATTCTGGAAAAAACCAACCTTATATCGTCTATTTCTAAAGTGGATCGCCCATTGTAAATCTTAAAAAAATACTCCTTTACTATGGCCTTAATAGCAGTCGGGTCCTCAACCTTATCGCCCCTAAAGTTCAGGGCAACCAGCGCATTCCTCTTTTTTCTGACTGTAGCACACATATGGAAATATTTAGTATCACGATCCCCATCTTCTATCCATTTCGATCTAGAGTACTGAAACCAAATTTGTTCCTGAATTTTATAAAGATTCCACAATTCTGCTCTTTGAAAAGTCAAATATGCTAATACTCCACTGTCAATAACACCTTGTTGTTGCTGAATATCAACCTCTTTCTGCTGAATTTTCTTCTCTAATTCAGAAATCAAGGCTGCTGGATACTGATCTCTCTTCCCAGCCCACTTTTTAATTGCATTTTTTGTATTTCTCAGAAGACTAAACACACCAGCCTTTTTATGAATATTCTTGCAGTTCTGAATTAATGATTTCACCATATCTTCAAAACCCTCTTCCTCCATCAAATAGTTGAATAGTCTGAATGGTTTATGACCCCACTCAACACTTTATTCATTAGAACTATAGCGTTATAATCAGACACGGACCTTGGGAGTAGTGACTGAGCAATATCCGGAAACATAACCAAAAATTGACTATCAACCAAAAAACGATTCAATCTTACAAAAGTAGGATTATCTTGGTTATTGTACCAAGTAAACCTACCCACGTTCAGAGGAAGATCAATTAGACCAGTTTGAAGGATAAACTAACTAAATATCTCCATAGAATTTCTATTTTGACATCTGCCCACCTTCTCATCTTCTTGTAAATAAGCGTTAAAATCCCCTCCCACACAAAGAGGATAATTCTGCCCACTAAGAAACATACTTAATTCTTCAAAAAAACTAGATTTCTCCTCCTCCACTGATGGACCATAAACGTTGATGAAACCACAACTGATATTGTTATTTCGAAATTTACCAAAAATAACTATAAATCTTCTATGAAAATACTGTTGTTCTAGCTCAAAAATATTATCATCCCAACAGCACAATAAACCCCCTGACAATCCGATTGAAGGAGATTCTACAACACTCTTTAAATTATTAATCCCACTTCTTAAGAAAAAAGATCTCTGAATTTTCTCTGTCTTAGTTTCTTGCAGCCAAAGAAGAGTGGGATGTACACTAGAAACTAAATTTTGAACAACCCTCTTTTTTTCTTTTTTCCCTAGCCCCCTAACATTCCATGAACAAATTACTAACTTTGACTTCATCATAAAAGAACAAATGCAATCTGAACATCTCTACCAGCGACACCTTAATTCACCCCATTCAAACCTTTCTCTAAAGCCATAATTTTACCCAGAAAAGCTCCTTTCCCTTCCTTAAAAGACACCCCCAAAAGCTCACTAACCTTCCAAGTAGCAAAAGCTTCTTCCATTAAAATCGAGAAGGTTGAAGAGGAGGTTGTATCAATGCTCATTTGTTCAAGGGTTTCCCTTATCAAATTCCTTTTAGTTCTTCTGATTAACAAACCAGATTTGAATCTTAAGCAATCTACTTCTGAAAAATAGCCATCAATCTCCCTATCCTCACTCCCATCCACTGTGCCACTGTCTATATAAGGAACATTATTCCCATTAGCAATCAAAACTGCCGATAGACAAAGCTGATTATCAGCACTAAAGTCATCATCAATCCTTCCCTTAGAAGCTTTGACTTTATCTGCATCAGGCGAGAACTTCAGCAAATCCCCATACCAATATCTCCTTTCCGTCGACCTTCTATAGACCCTTCTACAACTGCCTGTGCTTCTAGTTTCTAACACATCACTCTTTGTTGTAGGTTGTCTTCTGGATCGGTTTAACTTTCTCCCCCTTGAATTATTTCCTGAATCAGATGTAACTAATTCGACCTGCCTTAAGTCTTCTTCTTCTACTGCTATTCCATCAGTGACCAACTGCTTAGCCATTGGGCTCTTCTCCAAAACTCTAGTCATTTTACTGCCTTTCTCTGTTAAGTTAAGATTGCGAACCAATTCACCAAGCTTATTTATGTTAAAAGCTGGCCCAGTAGGAAAAACCTTATTTCCTTTTGACCCAGACTGCCCAGAATCCTCAGATTGGGCCTGAGATCCATCAGCAGAAAAATAAGTATTTCTGATCCCCAAGCCTACAAGCTCTCCTACTTTTATACTCCCAACGTTTTGACTTTCTGACAACCCACATTTAATGTATTTCCTCTCTAAAGAAAGTCTTGAAAGCTGTAAATCCTTACCAACTCCTCCAGAACCACAAACAACTCCCTGGTCAATCCAATTATCCACTGTCAGGCGATTTTTTTCTACTGCACCTTCCCCACTATTTGACAGCATTCTGTCATCCTCCTCCTCAGACAACTACTCCTCAAAAAGTCCCCCAACGAAACCTTCCTTCGGAAAATTGTTGAATAAAGAACTTGAATACTCACTTGTCGAACCGACCTTGATACTTACTTTGAAAGATCTTCCATAAGAACCAAGAGTGATCACATCTGGAACATCAAAGGGACTAGCCACCCTCATTAAAATTCTTGTCATTGTGAGGTCTTCTCTTTTCCTTGTAGCATCATGAATATCAACCACTGATCCCCATCTACCAGCTATCTTCTCGAAGAAAGGTTCGTTCCAACATAACAGAGGGACCCCAAATAATTCCACCAGACAGAAAGCCATTGGAACTCCCTCATCATTCATTAATGATTCCACTCGATCAAACCATTGTTCTATAGCCTCTTCCCTGTTCTTCCACAAGTCCAGCATCTCCTCATGTGTTTTAAAAACTATAGCACAAGCGTTCCATACATAACCCCATCTAACAATTTGGACATCATAGCCTGCCTTAACTAAGGCATTCTGAATATACTCAATCTGAAAAGAATGTTTGATAATCCCCGTTAAAGACCTCTTAGCCCAGCTTGAGCTTTCTAATGGAATATGCAATTCCAAAATATTTTTCTTGACACTCCTCCTGTGAAGATCATCATAAGGCAAGTCTTTTCTCCCCATTGCATCTTTATGTGACATCAAAGCATCTCTATAAGTTATGTTATCCCTTATGCTTCTGATAGAGTTCCCTGCTTCTTTTGATTTTGACGATTCAGCATTATTCTGACTGGAAACCTTATATGGATAAATAAGCTTCCCCCCTAACCAAGGACGCCCATCCTTATATCTAGTCGGACTAACTGAGATCTTCCTTCCATCCATCACAACACCATTTAAATCATCAACAGCTCTCTTCAAACCTACCTCACTCTTAAAATGAACAAAAGTAAAGGTGGAGAATTTGTATTTTGGGTTTTTTGTTTCTTTGGGAATATAGACTCTCATAATAGGACTATGGACTAAGAAGATTTCCCTTAAAGTACGTCGAGAAACCCTCCTACTGAGATTGTCGACAAACGCCGTCCAACTCTCATCGGAAACTAACTTTTCTTTTTCTCTCTCTACGTTTTTCTCTCTCTCACTCATCGCAAACATATATTAAAGCTAATATTTTAATAACCAAAAAACTTAAATGGCCCAAGCTTGGGCACATCACACCCTGATTTCAATCAAAACAACCAGTCAACAAGATGGTACCAAAACTTGTACTCGAATATAAGCAAGGCAGTAACTTGGCATGAGTATTACCGGTTATAAACATAGTTAGAGAGAGTTTTACCAATGTTTTGGCACTTCACAACTGAGTAATTATACAATAAAAAGTTATTGGGGTTTGAATTGAGCTCTCAATGGAACCCCAAGAATCTCCATTTAATTGCTTACCTTCAGAATCAACATACCTTCTCTATAATATGCCACATTTTTCTCCAATTTAAAACCCAAGCACTTATTTACAAACAAGATAACCTCACCAAACTCTCAGTGACCCGAAAGGATATAGCTAATAAATAAAGACATATGCCGTACAATACTCCTCGACAATAAAAGATAATATTTCCAAAAGAGTCGAGTCGATTCCAACATTTCCACTAGCACGTCTACTTCCCCCTACCCTGGTTCATCAATTATTTATCTACTTCACAGTTTTTCTATTTTTCAAATAAAATGAATCAAGGACTAAAGTGCTATACTAACAATAACCTCATTATTCCATATAAAAAAATTCAAAACTACAAATAGCATCCTTCAAAAAACCATGTACTATATACTTCAGGCAATCAATTCTTAAAATCTTCTTGTGTTATCATTGGAAACATGAAATTGATGTATAAGAATTTCATATGTTGTATAAGCTGTAAGAATGAAATGTATGCATCATGTATTTAGTTATGATTCAAGATGATTATACATTTAAAGAAGTTGAAAGTAAATGCTTTTACCACGTAATCTACACAGTATTCAAAATCCATGTTTTCAAATGCGACCTCACATTTTACCCAGATTAACAAGTTACAGGAACAAAAATAAACGGGGAAACTCATATATATATTGAAACAAAATGGGAAAAAGGATGAAAAGGAACTTACGTATTGATAAATGGGGTAATAATCACAGCAGAATTCAACCCTATCAAGCTCCAAAGACAAAGCAGCATTAAGCCCTTCGATCAACGCCTTAAGCTCGGCCGCTTGTTTGCTCAACCCAACACCAATTAAAGGCTTCGTAATTTCCAAAATCAAATTATCCCTAAAATCACAAATCGCAACGCCGATACCCGCGCAATTCGACGCCTTGTCTCTAACCTTTTCTTCACTAATCAGCCCCTTAAAGTAAATACGAAACTCACACGCATCGTCGTCGGAAACATCATCGACGAATTCCAGTTCGCTGTCGGTTCCATCCAAACGCTGGTCCTTAGAACAGCCTTCACCGAAAGGGCGTTCAAAGCAATCGCCCCAGTCCGCCCAATCTTCTTCCGGGATTCCCGCAATCCGACGCGCGAATTTCTCGTCGTGGACTCGACGCTTGAGGTCTTCTTTGAGTTTCTGGGTTTCGAGGAGGAAGCACTTATGATCGATCGATTCTTGTTGGAATTTCGATAGCTCTTGGGACGTTAAGGAGAATACGGAGTCACTTTGAATAGATGGCTGGGGAGGCAGATGCGGCGGTGGTTGGGAAGTGTCGAGCGAAAGGGAAGCGGATAGGGCTTCTTGTAGTTGTAGATGGAAGGCAAAGTCGAGATCGGAATCGAGGGAATGGGCAGCCATGAGCTCGTTGTGTTGCAGTGAAAATAAGGGGTTGAGGTTGTCGTCGCCGCCGTCGGTGTTTGCTGTCGCTGCCATTGGCAACGAATTGGAATCGGCAGTCGATTGGGTTAAATAAATAAATGGTTTTAGTCCTTATTCCATACGTAACTGAGAAGTAGAAAGTCTCGCTAATGTATGCTACTTTTGGACCACTTTTCAAATCCAACCCAGGCCTTGGATTATCTTACACTGTTCACGGTTGAAATATTATTTTCTGAAAATAATTTTAGATTAAATTATATAAATGGTTATTAATATTTGAATACGAAGTTTTAAAAATAATAAATTGATCACTAATATTATTTATTTATAATAAATTAATCACTCGTCGTTAACAATTATTATTTAAGATAATATAATATTGAATATAACATTTAAAAAAAAGGTTCGATCACTTTCATTAAAAGATTAATTTCTTGTGTCATAAATACTTAATATATTTGTAGGATATAAACTGTAAGGGATTGTTGTTAGAGTACAGTTTATCTTTAAAGATTAAAAAATTAAGATCATTATTGTAAAATTATTTTAAAGATTTATAATTATTATATATTATAATAGGTATATATTGATTTATTTAACATGAACACAAACGAAAATTAATAATAATTTTAAAATTATAATTCAAAGACCAAATATTCGCTCATGTAGTCAAAAGCTGATTAGTTTAGCACATACTAAAACCAAAACATAAGATTGAAGTAATCGTAGTAGGTGACCTAAAGTTGGAAATTTTCAATAATAAGAAGAAAATCATAAAGTTCAGAAAAGAAAATTAGATGGAGTACATATTTCTCTTTCTCAACATACATGGGGCAAATTAGATGGAGGAAAAAGACGTAACTACTTCATCTATCAAAGCGATTAGATTGTAAACTTTCATCTATTACTGAGTTAAAATTTATTAATCTAATATCATCTCCTCCAACTTCTCCTTTGGAGCCATTGATTTAGAGTTGGGAGAGTTTCATTTCATCGGATCTTATATATTCTAATAATGCTTCATATTTAAGCATCAATCTTCATGTCCAGAGAGGCTGAGGCTCCCATAATGACTCTAAGTTGTTGTCTTCCAAGAAGCTCGGGTTGCTGTCGTAGCTTTGTGGGCTATTTCCGATGAAATCGTCGACGGGTTGGTGGGGTGTTTGTTGAGGAGACAGCTGAGACTGTGCCACTTCCATGCAAAGTAAGGCCGCAAGGTTCGCTTGTTGCAACTGCATGTTGACCACTTCTGCTTGAGCTTTGGCTAGTTGTGCTTGAAGCTCATTAACTTGCTTTTGCAACTGACAAATCGCTCCGGCGCAACCGTAGACCGGGTCTCGGATTCTTGCACTAGCCTCATACACCATGCTGCTTACTGCATCAGCCCTTTGAGATTCTGGAAGTTCCTGCAAAATTTCAAAGCCAAAGCCCTCAATTTAACATATCTGATCATATACGAGGAATGGGGGACACTCAATTCCCTCATTTGCATATGGGAGAAGCTGGTGTATCGGATAAGTACATTTGTTGACATATTCAGAAGTGTCAACTTTCTATGAAGAAAATAGGGTCCTTATAAATGTTAAAACTCGGATTATTTAGAAAGAACAACATTTTCTATTACCATTTAGACCACTCAATGAATTCTCAGAGATATCTTGTAATATTTGTTCATAATTTTTTAGTATATTGATAATATATATATATATATATACCATGTATACGTAATTGTTCAAATTTAGATACTCTAAATAGAACAATATTTTTTGTTACCACTTAGACCATTCAATGAGTGCTCAGAGCTACCTTATATGTTCAAAATATTTTTTTAGTCTATAGACAATGTATATATACTTTACAGATACAATTATTTAAACTCAAATGCTCTAAAAACAATAACATTTTAGTTTACCACTTAGATCACTCAATAAATTCCCGGAACTACACTCCTTCGCCATTAACATAAAAGAAAAAAGAAAAGTTAATATCAGGAATTATAAAATGTTGTTTAAAACGAACCCCAAAACAAGGGGGGTACCCCACAATTAATATTATCTTTTTGGCCACATTTGTTAACGCATTAACCCGAAGCTACTCTTTTACCATTTCAAACACTGTTTTTTTCTAAAAAGGAATATGGACGAATGTCAATTAGCAGGAAGATTCGACAAAAATATATATATATATATACCTGCAAGAACTTGATAATGTTGCTAGCACCAAAGACGCGATGAGCAATGGTAAAGTTGGTGGGTTCGTTTGGAGGAAAATAAGGAGCCAATACACATTTATCAGCACACCTGCGCCTTAAAATCTTGCAGGCGGCACAAGGGCTAATAACAACCGGTGGTGGGATCGGAGGAGAAGACGATGAGATCGAAGACTTGGGCGAAAGAGATTGAGGAGAAGATGAAGGAGAAGTTGCTACTTCTATGTATTCCATTTCCATCTCAAGGTATAGGTAAAGAAAGAGGGAGAGATGGATTGTTAGAGGAAAGAGATGATGTTGGGGTTTGTTTTTTTTTTTTTCATACGAAGGGTGTTTTTTTATAGTAGAAATGTGAGATCATATTGGTCAAACATTTCTCTTTTTTAGACTTTTGCCTATTTGCTGTCTTCTCTTTTTTTTCATTCTTTAGTACTTAAACCATACCTTTAGTACTTAAACTTTTACTTTTATTCCATTTTTGTATTTAAACTTTACTATGTTTCAAAATCATGTCTGACATTTAGTTTGTGTTTCATTTTAATACTCCCGCCGTTAAAAACTTAACTTGATGTTAATATGTTACTGTCGGAATCGTCTTTCGGTTGGACCCCGGAATTGGGCTTCGACTTAAGAAAATGGATTGGGAGTCGCCACCGATCTTTTATTTTAAAACAAATAGGTAGATCAGATACCTTATTCCTTACCTGATTTGCATCTTACCAGTGATGTGTCGAATTCGGGAGTCGGTTACAGTCAAGGAAGGGTTAGCACTCTTGAACTGCCCTTTCGGTACTACGTAATTTCCAGTTGTCTTTAATTAAGAAAATTATAAGTTTAAATTGAAAGGTAAAGTATCGATCTGAATACTTACCACTGATTAATTTGAAAATATCCTTAAAATCAAGAGATGTGTTAGGTAAAAAATGAAAACGAAAAATAAATAAAGTAAGAAACGAACAAAATAAAGAAAATAAATAAATAAGAAAAATATAGAGAAACGAAAAATGAAGTAAGATAAAAAATGAATAAAATAAATAAATAAAATGAATAAGTAATAATAATATATACACGAAAGAAAAATAAAAAATGAGAAGAAAATACTCCTAAATAAATAAAACAAATATAAAGGAAAAAAATAAGAAAATAAAAGAAAAGGAAAGGAAAGAAAACAAATAAAATATATAAAGACTAAAAGTATTCAAAAAATAGTAAGATAATAATAATACTTATAATAGGACGAAACAAATTAAAATAAAACGAAACTGGTATATAATATCATATATCATTAAATAAAATAAAAATAATAAAACAAACTAATGAATGAAAAATATATATACTAAAGAATGATATAAATCTTATACGTGTATATGTATATAGGATAATATAAAGTAAATGAAAGGAAAATTTAAATTTAAAGGGATTAAATTTAAAAAAAGGAAAATCGAGTGACCAATTTCTGAAGCTTTTGGGGCGAAATCGAATTTTGGTGATCAAAAGAGGCCTGTTAAAACTTATGAGGGACCAAAATGTAGTTTACCCTTCTTTATTACAAAACACGCGGATCTGATATGAGCATGGATCGAGTCAGTTTGGTCCGCTGGGCTTAATATATAAGCCAAAGAAATTTTAAAAAAATCATTTTCTCTCTTCTTTCACCAAAAATGCCCACCCTCTCTCAAAATGCTCTCCATTGTTCTTCACCAAGCGAAGAACACGATGGGTGTTCATCCAAAAACCCATAATCTGGCCATCGGTCGCCGGCCGCCGTTCATCCGCAGTAAAATTTGATTTTTTTCTCTAAAAACTTTTCTTTCCCTCGATCTAAATATCAAAATGGTTTTCATCAAAAATGTGCCTTGGGGCTAGATCTACGAAAGAAGATCCGGTCGAGCCCCTATGTTCATCGGCAAAACCTTTTTTTTTGGGTTTTCAAGCAAAAGAACGTGGGCAACAACGCATGCAAATGAAGAAAAACATGAAAGGTAAATGCTTTCACCTTTTATTGCTTATTGAATCGTTTACAAGACTTCGAATATGCTTGCTTTTGTGTGTATTTCGTGCCTATTTTTTCTGCATAGTAACCGTGTAGAACCGTGTCTTTTGCCTCTCGTCCCCCCTTGTGTGTTGATTACATGGATTTTTATAGCCTAAGAAAATCTATATTTAGAGACTAAATCTGAGTAAAACTCGGTTCAGTTGTGGTTGTTTGAAATCCCACTAACACAAGTCGCTTTTGCTTGTGTTCCATGTGTTCACGTCTTTTGGTGGTGAGCAAAACGGCCGGCGGAGCCTTCGGAGTGGCCAGAGGCATGAGGCGTGGGGACTTGCTTGCAACGGCTCTGGACGAGGCTTGGAACTAGGGTTTCAAAAACCCTAGTTTGCATCGGTTTGGGTCATGGGTTTGGTTTGCTGGGCCACTTTGTACTGGATCTTGTAATGGATATGTACATGAGCAAAATAAATAGTAAATATGTATATCATATAACATAATTTATAATATTATATAATATTAATTGAGGATGATGAAATTAAGTGTCTTCAGCTGTCTCTCTTTGCTCATTATCGTGTAACGAAAATAGAGCAAAGATTAAAAGACATGAATTTCGTCCATATCGAATGCCCTCTGTCGTAGAGTTGAAACCCGATGTTGAAACTAGTTTGTCAATTTAAATTGAAATATGAAATGTCTCCCTCGTCGTGAGGTCGAAGTTAAACTGGAAACTTCTGAGCACGATATCTTTCGTCGTGAAGTTAAAATCGAACTCAAAAACCCTTGGCAAATAGCCTCTGAACCGTGAAGCTGAAGTTTGACCCAAAGGCTTTTGTGTTACTGTACTGTAGATGACTCATTCGTCGTGAAGTTAGGTCGATCTGTTGAGGTAGAATACCCTTTGTTGTGAAGTTGGGATCCAATGTAAGTTGCGATGTT